GTATGGTATGGTATGGTATGGTATGGTATGGTATGGTATGGTATGGTATGGTATGGTATGAACAAAAAAACAGACTTTTTCTTACATTTTGACAACAAAAGGTCAGTACACCACCTTAGGACTCCAATTACATGTGTTGAAGATGTACATGTGTATACATTTTAATATATACTCACTCATGCTTTTCAAACAAACAGAAGAAATAAAAACTTTAGCAGCACAAAATAGAGATATTGAACAAACCACAGGTAATTTCCTTAAAGCTTTGTGAGAGTATCACATCTTTAGTTTTGTTAGTGAGATCTCTGCTGGAACAAATAACATTTGTCTAACATTATGAGTAACGTGGTACTTAAATGCAGGGAGTAAGGACCAAAATTACAGAAGCACTCCTAAAACAGACTTATAAAGTCCATTAGTTCATTTTCTCTGACTTTTCTTTTTCATTCTTTGTTGCTGTAAAAGCATAGTTTCAACCAAGGCCAAACACATGTCCAGCCTTAGCTTGCAGCCAGCCTAGCTTAGCTCACTCTCTTGAAAACATTAGGTCTCAGCTTCCTGAAATTAGAAAGGGAATTAAACCAGCACTTCCTTCCTAACAACTACATGTTTACATTGATAAAATATATCAAACTCTTTTTTAGGTAAAAAAAAATGTAAGCTTCCAATTAGTCAGCTGAGGTACTCATTCCAGGAAAACAGTCACCAAGATGTCTCAGTGCATACCAAGATGCATGTCACCAAGTCTGGGACAAAGCTGGCCTTAAGATGTTGTGAATCCTCTTCCAAAGCAACTGGCTCTTTTTAGTCTACCCTCTCACCTTGGAGTATTTTGCTGTCAATAGTGCTTTTAGCACTTTTCAGTCCTCTGGACTCAACCACAAGGAGGACCTAACCTGACCCTACCCAGAAACCACATAATATGATTGTACTTGTTAATTTATCTGTACATACAAGGACTATGTGTTTGCTAATAACTGAATTTCACATACTGTGCTGCCAAAATCAAAGGGTTTAGGAATAAAGATACTTCTTGGTTGTTTTTATTATGTAGGAATACCACACTTGTCTTGGCTACTCATACAATGATGTCAGAATGTGAAAGGCAGGAAAAGTACAGAGAAGACAAAAAAAAACTAAAAGAATGGAAAGCTGAAACACTGTTGTTCCAATTAAAAAGGGAGGTTCTTGTATGACCTGTTTATGAAACTGATGGGGAAAGGAACAATTCAAAGGGTCTGTGATAACCCATCTTCAAAACAGATTTCACCATTCTTAGGCTTTATAGTCAAAACAGGAAAGAGAAACTGACTTCATGTGTCATACAATACACATCAAGTAGCTTTTAGCAAAATAAATCTGCTCAGTGTGTTTCTAGCACACTTTGTCAGAAGCTATACTCATTTCACAAACTATGATCCTAGAAATGTCCCATGCCAGAAAAAAGACAAATGGAAACACTGACCTGACAGTAGATGCATGCTCTATCCAAGTACAGAAGCATGACCATTTATTCACAGCTTTTGAAACAGGATTATTTTTCACAGGAATTAGATATGATGTGCACAAACTAAATATAGAAGAGTGCACTGAGATTATACCAGAATTAGAAGGGAAGAAGAGCCTGCTCCAAAAAGTTTAATATACACAAATTCATATGAATTCAGGTGCAGCCTACTTGGTCCAAAAGTCATTGAATCCACACTGACAAATCAAACAGGAATTAATCTTATACAAGTCCAAATCCCTACAAGCTTTCATTGCATCACACAGATTTAATGCACTTTGGTCACTTACAGGCCAGAGCCTCAACAATGCATTCAATTTCCTGCTATGAATATCTATTTTTTCCTGCTCTAACTTCTTGACCATGGCCACAGAAACTTGATAGGCATATATAAACAGGAAAGAAAGACAATGAATTACTGAAAAGTAGACTATTAAGTCTACAACCACAGTAAATCAGTAAATACTGTTTTCCACAGGAACACAGAAAAAAGATCTACAGTAAACTGTAAACTGGCATTACCATCAAATATCATAGTTACCTACCAGGCTCAAAAGGACTCCTAAGGTGAAGACTTAAATGTTGCCAGATTGTTTTGTTTGTTGTACCTTGTTTTTGTCATTCAAGTCTGTCACTTATTTGTAAGTCTTATGGTTAGCTGGAATAGTGTAGCTATTGTAGTATTTTTCTTCAGTCTATCCAATGTTCTATCAACATGCTAACTTTTCAAATGCTAACTTCAAATTACTGAAATTAGTAATTACTAAATTCTCAAACTTTGTAAAACAACTGAATAGAAGAGCAGAACAGCACTAAACATTTAAAAATTGTTTAAAAGTAATAAAAAACTTTAGGAAGTGAAATGGTTTTCCTAGTATGATCACTGGGCACAAGGATGGACAGCAAATGCAGCAGCAGACAGAAACATTATGATCAGGGGAAAGGGATTTCTCATGATAAATTCCTCAGTTTCAAGTCTGTTGCCTCAGACAGACAAGATTTGATTAAACTTTTTTCCTCAAGAAAGGGCGAGGGACATCACAGATTTACAGACCAAAGAAGAGGGATGGATCAACACACAAGATGAGGTTCCCATAATGGCCAACGTTCACTAATTGGCCAGGTAAACTGTAACATCTACTGCATTGCAGTAAACAAGGAGGTCCAATAGTATTAACAGATATATTAGACAAAGGAATTAATTGTGTGGAACATAACAGAGCTAAAAGGCTCAGTCAAAGCACTAAGGAAAAAACAAATAAAGTTTTAATGCAGCTAAAATGTAAATGTAGATAACATACTTGCTCAACAAGGTGATTGTCAATTACATAGCTTCCAATTAGCCATTCAATGGACTTCTAATTCTGTATTTACTGATCTTACTGAAAAGCAAATTGTGGTGTTCTTAACACTTCACCATTTAACTAGCAATTTCTTGTGCATGCATTAACATCACTCCTGGTTTTCAGCTTTGTTCACAAGATGAATAGAAAAGCTTCTAGAATGTTACAGTGATTAAACATTATGTTTCTAGGGGTAAGACCTAACTAGCAGGGACAAAAGCAGAGATTCTGAGCTCAGTATGATGGATCCAAAGGTAATACAGCAGATGAGGTGATTCAATTCATCATTTGTTACAGCAGCTTCAGACCAAGGCTGAAGCAAAGAAAATGGCCAGCTCAGCCCATGAACAGTACAGCAGTAAGGGGTGGGGATGAGATTCCTGCTGTGCTTCGTAAGGGAACACAAAAAACTACTTCTAATAGAAAGAGGTTTTAGCAGACTGAAAGCACCTTTGTATCTCCATAGAACTAAGTCAGGGGAGCAGCTGTTTCAGCTCCCTGGCTGACCAATCCTTGATGGATTCATGTTTATGTGAACTTGTTCACTTCTGTGTAATTAGAATTTCTTCTAAGTTTTCTAGCCTTCAAAATAAAGTCACTAGATTAACAGGCATTATAAATGAAAAAACAACTCAAAGATTAATTTCTGATTCAGTGAACAGCTGAATTCAGAGTTTTTAAAATTCAGAGTTATTTTTCTCTTGTGCACGCCCAGCACACCTTTTCCTATACTCCCTGAATAAGCAATTGATATGTCATCAGGGAAATTTGTAACTGGCAAGTCACTGATTGATTGCCAGTCAGTGACTCCAGAAAGGTGAGTGAACAATGATATGAAATTCAGACACTATTGTGAACTTCACTATTTTCAACTTTTTTGAGTTGCATGGGTATTACATTAATGACTTTCAAATTAACAGCAGGGTTTTTAACAGAAAAATTTATTGTTCATTTAGCACTGCTCCTACAATAAGAGACAAAACAGCTGTCAAAAAACTCTGAAGTCTTCCCACCAAGAAAAAGAGGTGACTATTAATCTCTGAAAAAAAAGAAAAAAAAAAAAAATCCAACAACTCTGATCATTGTAGTTTAGGCAAAAATCTCTGCTACTAAGTAACTACAGAAGCTGGTGAAACTACCTGTCACACTGACACTACACTATCCTAATGTATTCCCAAATAAATATATTATTGGAGCTAAAAGGTACGCTTCCCACCATACCACACTGCTCCTTAACTCCACCTTCAAATACCAAATTATGCCTGCCTTATCAATCCCATAGTACAAACTGCTTATTATTGACTAAATTTGTTATGTTTCTGGAAAGCATCTTAATAGGAAGAACCTGAAACAGGAAATATTTTGGTTAAAAGTACCAATGGAAATGCAAATAAAACAAGTAGGAAAAAAATGAGAGATCTTTCTATGTGAGATTTTGAGATGTGATGAAATGTGGGATTTTCAGTCTCAGCTTGCTTTATTAATCTTTCATTCTCTTCTATTTTGTTGTCAAGCAATGCTAACCTCTTCAATCGCACCTGCAGAAATTCTGTGTCCAGCAACATTGATCACATCATCAGCTCGAGACAGGACATACAGATAGCCATCTTCATCCATATAACCAGCATCCATAGTATCGTAATATCCCTAAATACAACACAATGAAAAATAAATTCAAAAAGAGTACTGGGAATACTCATTAATTTACCTGGAAACACACACACAAAAAATTTACCTGTTTCACATTATTTATGCTTTTGGTGTTTGAAAGATTTAATTCCATAATATTTGTCATCATTTTTATATAATAGTATCCTGTGCAGCTCCCTTTACAGAAAAAATTTTTGTTGTCTTTATTAACAAAGAACAAGAAAAAAAATAGATAAATCCTGACATTTTTCCAACTCTGCTTACTTTGATCCCTGACAGCTTGGAGAAGGATGTTGCCTGGATCTACACAAGGAAAATGGAATTACTGCAATATAATGACAGTTGTCAAATTCCTCCTAAAGATACTCCTGTTTGCTGTATCCAAACACACACCGTCATCATGATGCAATTGCACACTAAAAATAAATTGTGTGACAAATTCACTCATTTACTTGCATTGAGCCAAATCTTCTATTTTGAGCATTTCTATAGGGGCAATCTACCAATTTCTACAAGGAAATGAACTTGGATAGTTCATCTGACAAGGAAACATACCTAATGCAGCAAAGAGCCTCCAGTGTATTCAGATGTACAGTGGACAAATGGCATTTTGGAGTGATATGAAGTTAGCATGGCTGCATGCCAAGAGGAGGAGTGTATTTAAAACTGTGCTAGTGTAAGGTTGCAGGTTTATATCTTTGACATGAAATGAATTTTTGGCTCAAAAGCTCATGGTTTACTTCTTCTGTTTCAGATCTTAAGAAAATAAAACAGCATACCCAAGAGCTGAAATTATAGGTGAAAAAGGATTTATCTTGTAATGGTTTTAATTATATATACATATATCAAAGACCTCCAATGAAATTGTGACAACTTATGATAAACTGTTTCCCAGGTTAAGTCTATTATCATTCAGTTCTGAAGCATTATTAGAAGTTTAAATAATTGATTTCATAAATCTTACTGGGAACTTTTGGAAATATAACTTCTGAAATATTTCTTGATTTTCCCAAAGACCTGAGAATGCTCCAGGAGGCAAAGGCAACCTTAAATTGAAAAGAACAGAAGGCACTAGTAAGAAAAACAGATATAACAAATCCAACTCATGCTCCACTCATCCTCTGTTTTCAGAAAAATAATCATTGTCTACACAATCAGGAAACAGTTCAGCTTAATAATATGCTGGTAACTGATAAAAAAGGCTATGTATTATTGTTATCAAATGCATATAGATCTGCATGGTATCCAGACCTTACTTTTTACATAATACAAGCACCTCAGTAAAATAATATTTGGTCTAGTAAACACTATATACTTTGTTATAAATATGTTAACTGCATTTAGCTTTTAACATTTCTCAGGATCTGTCTGAAATTTGTGCAAACACGTTATGATAGAAGCAACTGCATTATTACAGGTCTCTCTAACACCCATCCACACCCACACATGCATAGACAACGAATTATCAGACACACAGATCTTAGTTTCTGTAAAAAGATAAAACTCAAAGGACATCAATCACAAGAATCTGAATAAAAATACTTTTCTGTTTAAACTGTGCATAATACTATTGGAAATAATGAAGAACTTCTGTGAAAATATATTGATACAAGTCACTAATAGAAGCTTCTAAAATAGTTTTACTTAAAGCTGCAAAATTCTGCATTGCTTTGTTAGTTAAGTTTTGAATACATACTAAACCCCTTCTTCAGTCAATGATATGGGAATGAGAAAATATGGGACACTTCACATACATATCTGTCAGAAGATAAGCTGCAGAAGCCTCAGCTAAAAAAGTGCTTGTTTCTTTCTTCAAAGCTCTGACAGGGTCAAACATAGATTTCTTTAACTGCCTGAGAGATATATTATTCAGGCATATGAACACAAGTTTTATGAAGTTTATCCCTAATAACAGAGAGAGAATGACCGTGTAAACAAACAGATTTATTTACATAAAATCATAGATGCACCATACAGATTTTACTAGCATATGCCTGCATCATTAACTAGCAAGTATTTAGCCAGAGCTATTAGCCAGAGCTATTTTATTTTCTATGACAGTATCCCTGTGACACCAGAAGGCAACATTTCTAGCAGAGAAACAGTTCTCTATAGCATAGCAATTCTGGTGTCATTAAAAGTCTATGATGGTCAGGCACAAGAACAGGTGCCACCAGCTCTGTGACATGCACATTTCTAACATTACAAGAAGAATAGTTATAGTTTATATAGATATAGATGATTAGATATAGATATAGATATAGATATAGAGATAGAGATATAGATATAGATATAGAGATAAAAAAAAAAAATAGATATAAAGATAGAGATATAGATATAGATAGATATAGAGGAAGGGAGAGGGAGGGAGAGAGGAGGGAGAGAGGGAGGAAAACACACTTCAAAAAAATCCTAGCTATGGTAAAACCAGTACAAATTACATTGAAAAGGTCATATCATCCAGTAATGATTTGAATGCCTGGTTTTCTACAATCCTAGTTTTTTCATCTTAATTCAGGTCAGCTAGCATAATAGAATATACTACTATAAATACTACTGCTTTTTCTCTGAGGGTTCTGGCTTAACACATTGCTTGAAAGTACGGTTAAGGTATGGCCAGTAATGCCAAGACACTTCCCACTTCCCACACCTCCCACTCAGGGTTCAGGAGGGCAGGTTGGCCTCTGCCCATCTGGAAGAAATTCACTGCTCTATTTTAAGCCTTTCAAGCTTACTAAGCGTCTCTGTAATATAAAAACATGACTTGTGGAGTGTTTGCCTTGGAAAAAAAAGATTAGAAAAACAATATATTGATCCTGGTGTTTGTGCATGCATGGGTTTAAAAGGAAAAAAAAAAAATCTCTTGTTTAGATTCAAGAAAAGCCACCAGAGAACGGCAGTTACTATGGTTATTACCTGGTTGCTAATAGTACAGCAATTCATAACAGCCTCAGTCATTGCGAATTTCACACTTTAAATTTATTTAGCAGTCTAACATCTTTGTGATGGGAGAGAAAGAACAACTCATATTGATAAAGTCCTTAATTTCCCCACAGCTCTATTCAATACTTTGCAGTTAGTCACTGAATAGGAAAAAAAACAGTTTCATTGCTGAAATTAGAAAAACATTTTCCTTTCTGTCATTTTTTAAAAATCTAAACAGAAGTGTGGAACATATGACCAAAAATACAACCCTCACTCTCACTATTTTGTCTTCTTGTCCTTGTTTGGATCGGTTTTTTTCAGATGGGGAGACCAGGGGTGTCTCACATTCTAGTTTGGTGGGGGGTTTTTTGCTTGTTTGTTGAGGCTTTTTTAGGAAAATTGTACTGATAAACACATCCAGAGAGCATATTTTGTGAGTCTGTGGAAACCAGACTGCTAAATTAGTGGCTATTACAGGTATCTCTGCAGCACACAGTCATAACACAACATAGATAACATCTGAAAATGTGCTTTCATGGCTTTCTGAGAAAGACTACTTGCAGTTGGGACCCCATTCATCCACTAAGAAAAAAGTGAATACCCTCTTCCATGTGCCAATCTTTCAGCACAATAATTCCAGAGCAATGGGCACATACAATTCTTTGATAAGAGCAGTTCTTGGCATCATGACTTAGTAGAATTTCTAGGTTCTGTGCAAACACAAATTAATAAAGGTAGAATTCAGCTTGCCAGAACATAATTATGTGTATTGAAATTTTGTCAGGACATCAGATTTAAAATGTCCAGAGCCGAATATACCTCAAAACCACTGCTGTCAGTGGGAATGCTGCCATAAATTCCAAAGGGGGTAGAACTGGAACATAATTACATGTAAGGAGACAGAAGAGAGAAAATGAGACTGTCCAAAAATAACAGCAACCTGAAAACAGACATCTCTTGTTTTTATCAACCCCTCCATAAAAAAGGAACATTTTGAGATGTTTGATTTGGGTCTTTTTGCCCTAGAAAATGTAACACACACCCACAATAACTCAGCATTTAAAAACTGTTGCCTCTTTGTCTAAAAACTGAGTTGATATGAGTACAGATCTGAGTACAGATCTTTTGGCAATATTTTTACTAAGAGATATATTGACCAAAAATGCCAGGAATGCATACATAAGCACGTCTGCTTTCCTTTCAGAAGGGACAGGATTACAGAAGGCCAAGTCAGGAGTAGGTAGGTTCCTTCATTATCATTTTCACAAAATACAAAGAAATTGCTTTGCTTGGTTTCCCCTTGAGACATATTTACTGTATTTCTGTAGCTGTCTGTTACCAGCACTGCAACAGCAGTACAGATTATGCTATTCTCCATTTACTCCAGTCAAAGAAAGATTAAAATTGTTGAAGTACAAGAATACAGATCCAAGCCTATTTCTCATTTAAAGATTGAATACATTTAAAACAGTAGCAGAGAAATGAGGCAAACTCTGTAAATTAATGATTTAAAACATATGGGTTCATTTAATGAAGATTCATTCTGGTTACATTTTACAAAGATAAGCAGGTAATTTCATTATAAATTGGAGAGACTAAGATGAATGAGTTTGACAGAACCACAAAAAAACTCTGGAGTACTTTAACAGTAACTGTGTTCTGGTACAGAATTTTAAATTACAATTATTACTTCTTTTTTTAAGTGTTGTTTCACAGTTCATTAAGTTTTCATACAACGGTGGTAGACCTTTCAAAGAACAGTCCACCTTTAGCTTAGCCCAAGAAATGTGACTCCCACATAGCACATCCTTTCAGAATGCCATTCATCAAAATGGTGTAAGATTCCTAGTTAATGGAACCAACCAATTATAGACAAAGAACTCAAAAGAGAATTTGCATGGAAAACCAGATTTCTGAAAGGAAATAATAAATTATTGGAGATGTTACCATTCTGGAATTCAGAAAAGACATTATTTTATTTTATAGTAGGTGATGATACTCAGAGGCTATTCATTACAGCCAGCCAAACTAAATACAAGCCACTGTTAAATGAGTTTGGGCTTCTGAATGGAACAAAATAATCTTGACTGGCAGCTATAATTATTTATGTCAGCATTTATGTAGGGTTGTGCATAAACATCACTCATAAAAATTTTGACTGCAAGTTTGAAAAGCATCCGGAAGCTTTTCCAGACTCTAGGAACAACAACACAGAAAAAAAGATGAAGAAGAGTAGAGGACCTTGAACATTCATCAGTCTGCATGAAATATTACTTTAGTTAGCTGAAAGGGATTACAAAGGTAGTTGATCTCAGGATGGATTTTGCTTTAGTAGGAAAAGAGAAAAAGCCATCAAAAACTAGTGAAAGTGCTTGGAAAAATTTCAAAGTCATGAGAGTTCAAATGATATTTACATGTACTCAGCCAGAGATCTGCTAGAAAAACTATCTTTGGACAAATTGCTCTCACATTGGAAGGCCTAGTAATTGTTTTATCTGTAAAGGGAAAAGACAAAGCTGATAAAGATGTAGAAGGCTGTTAGGAAGATAAATCTTTTGCACAGGTTCTTTATTTAAACAGACCTTCTGTGTAACACAGGCTGAAAGATGCCATCTACTATATCCTGCCTCAACCCCACAACCTTTGGTTAAAACAGGTATCTAGGTTAGGCTCAAAAATATCAAAGTTACCATAATCTCAATAATTTATTCCAATGTCTTAATAATTTCACTGCTAAAACAGTGCTTTATTTGTCACCTGAATGCATCTAGCTTCAGCTTCCAAATACTTTATGCTAGATTAAAGAGCCATCTCTCAGAGATTTTTTTTTCCTGGCCTTGAAAAGGTTACTATTTTACTGATCTTGGGTGAATTACATGCCACAGGTTTTCATACTATGTGGATTCTAGCACTCGCGTCACTCTCATTCTTTTTTCCGCCAAAATCCAGTCACTTTCTCAACAGTCCTCTGAAATACAGTCACAAGAACCAAGCATAGTGGATGTACTAACATCACATCCACATACAGTAATGTTGGCTCCTCTTCAGTCTTCCTACTGAATAACAAGGAATCATATTGCCTGTAGTTACACTAGCAGCTACCCTTCATTCAAAGATCCTGTGTGCCTAGAGGTTTATCCACTGCAACATAAAAAGCTCCTTTGAAAGTCACTGCTTTCTAGGGCCCTTCATCCTATAGATCTAGCAAATTTTCACTTTACCTAGCTGTACAGTCCTCGCTTACAAGAACACATTGTTATTGCCTCCTTTTCTTCCTGGGCAGTGGGAGAGCACAGAGAGCTGTGACTTTTCCCATGGGTATATCCCAGCTGGATTAACCAAACAGTGACTCATCAAGTCTTACATTATCTTACTTCAGTTTTTTAAATTAAATACCAAGGTACTACAGTGTGCTGCAAAAGAGTACATCTTTTTCTTTCCCTTTTCTTTCCTATAAGCTCTCTTGGTTAGCATTCTACTGAGCATTAGAACAATTACAATCCTGGCTTCATGTTGCTTCATCCTTTCACACAGATACTGACTATATTTAACGCATTTTAAGAATGAGTAAGCTCTTTATTGAACACTTATTTGCTCATTAAATACTGTATAAATATTGAACACATCACCACAAATAGGAAAACTATCAATCGGTTGCCTATTTTGAATAACACCTCTTCTACGAAAGGATATTTAGTCTAAGGTATTTCTTTGGAAGTACAGTCATGTTTCTCTTTGACTAACTTATAATGTATAATCATAAAAAGCTGTGAATTTATCATCACTATTTCTTTATAAATACTATTTAAAATTTATCATGAATAAATATTTGTAAACGTACTTTAGTTTTTACAGCACTGTACGTAAGGTTTTGTGTGATTGCACTCAATACAATGGAGTGGGTCATCATTCCAAACATTCTATTTTAGAACATTTTGCTTTTTCTTCCTCTTCCTTCACCAATTCCAAATCCACAAAAAAAAATTCCACAACCATAGTAGTTTACAAAGCCTCCAACACAGCCACTTTTCTTAAATGCAATTAAACCAATGCAACTAAAGCATTTCAGAATCACTGTATGATATAACTACATTGCTTCACCTCCTGCTAGATACGGAACATATTTATGTGATTCCATGCAGCGCAAATCGCTAAAGCAAACTTGTAAATACTTACCCTGCAAAACTCCACTGTCATGGTACAAAAATAACTACATAAACACTACAGGAAGTGTAACTAGGGTCTCACAGCAAATTTACTGGCAGTCACTACACTTTGGAAAGAATGAGCACGAGGCAAATGTAGTCCTGCTGTACATGAATATAAAGAATAATGCTAGCTAATGAGACAGTGCTGATGACTGCTTCAAAAAAAAAAAAAAAACGTAGTTGGTTTGTGATATTTTCAATGTATAAGACAAAAACTGGAATTTATATGGGATTTCTCCTTGCTAATATTCCTTATAACAACAGACAACCTAGAAAATTCTTATGGCTAATCAAAATTACATATATACACACAAGTATGTACATACAAGTATATTTTCAAGTGTGCATTAATTATAGGCAAACAGAAGTGTGTCACTAAACCAGACTGGTCTTGCTAACAGAAATGAAAGTCACTGCTGCTATTATTCTCACTTCAGAATAAATTCTCAGAATCTTTCATGTCCAAAAATTCTAGTTCAGAAAAAAATACATATACATTTAAAAACAATTAATACAAACCCACCCTCATAATCTGTAGTTACCATTATTTTCCCTTGTCCTTCTATCACACTCCTTTCAATTATTTTATCCTGAAAGACTTGTGAAATCAGAAATATTATTGCAGAGTCCAGGTAAACGAGCATGTATGAGAGATCTTATCCAAGAATAATCTGTTCAAAGGGCAGAGATGATAGTTATATGGAAAAATAAAAACAGAACAGATATCAGTGGGTAGAAAAGTAAAGAACATACTTGGGGCAGCAAGTTGGAGTAATTAGATATAAGAACTGCTTTTCCAGAGTATTTGACTCCTGCAGGATGAAATTAAAATTTAAAGCTCTGCTGTAAAAATAGATATTTTAAATACTGTACTTAGGAAAACTGCAGGCCTCAAGCAGCCCCAAATAGTCTTTACCAGAATTAGTCTAGGATAAAAACAACCAAGAGCTGCAGATTACCACTTATGCACAGCTGTCGTTGCAGGTAGTGCATGGCCACTCTCCTCTCCAAGAAATACTGAAGAATATTTCACAACTCACCTATGCTCCAGGTGAAGCAAATCCCTGTGTTTTTTCATATTTCACTACTGATGGTATGACAGAATAATAGTCAGAACTATCCTGAGTCCCCCATTTTCTTTCAGCTGCAGGGGGACATGCTCTGGGCTGACAAACAAGCACTGCTACTAACAAGGATCATCTCCACTACTTTAAAGGGTCTGTACATGTAGAAGACTGCTGAAGAGAGAAATGCCTTCTTTGAAGGAGGACTTCATGAAACCTTGCTTTAATAAAAAAAATAACACAATAAACATAGACATGAACACATCTGGAAGGTGATTTATTCCATCCTAGTTGAATAACTAGGCATGAGCAATATAATGAATAATAACTAATCTGAATATCTAAGCAGCTAGGATCAATTTTCTTTCAAAATACCTTTTCTCTCTCCATTGATTATAATCCTGTGTTTTATTATGGCTTCAGGCACTACAGAGGTGAGAGCTTTTTCTGAAAGACAGTTTTCCACTCTGAGTTGAGTTACTGATACTGAGAACCAAAGTTGATAAAAGGTTGGAGCAATTTTAAGTACTTGTGCTTGGTATGAATGTACATACTCAACAATGGAGTGAATGCACAACCTTATATGTGTCTCAATAAAACTACACCTAAATATGAGTCTGCTGACTCGGGGGAGTTAAACCTATGCGTCTGTGTCCTGGTGCCTTAGCTGAAGATGCTGAGAATGAGACAGGGTATGGACTTCATCCTAAAAACACACATCTGCATCACACAGAACAATAAGTTAATGTGGTATTACTTTAGTCTCCACAGGGGTCTAGTTACATAAGATCAGTGGTACAGCTGAATAAAAAGTCTCCCAACCTCAGCAGCTCCACCTCCCACACAAGCACTGCGCCAGCCCACCCCCATTGTTGGCACTGCATGTCTGCAGCTCCCATGCCTGCAGCTCCTGTCTCTCACCCCCAGCTTGTGCGCCTCAGCCAACCGCAACCCTCAGCTAACTGCGCTAACAATTCACCAAAATTGGTACATCCATCCCAAAGCTTCAGCTTTTGACAGATTTTCAGTTCACTGAAGATTAGTATTAATCTTTGCACTTCCTTTCATTCATCTAAGCCAGCAGTGAAGACTCGAAGCTACCACAACTCACCAAAAACCTACCACAAAAGAAATGGATGAATACATTTCCTTTGGGATTTGCTCACAGTTAGAAAGTGTTCAGAGCTGAAGTTATTTTCTGTGACTGAAAAAAAAGGTGGGTACAGATACCATATTAATCACAAAGCAGGTGTCTCTCTCTGAGGAATAAAAACGCTGAGAAAAATGCCATTTGCCTGAAAAACACCCAGAATACAGAGCTGGCATGGGCTGTAAAGAGCACTAGTCCATAGAATGCTACAGGAGTAAGGAAAGGTCCTGGCAACAGTGAGAAGGCAGCAGGCCAGATAAATGTAACTGATTTTCACAAGGTGATCTAAACAGAGGCCTTTTTATCTAAGGAAATGTGCCAAGAAAGGTGTACTTTCAAAAAGAATATTAGCGTTTAGGGAACTCATCTGTCAGGAGTCTGGTAAATGGTACTAAAAATCACCTACATGATGCACAGCAGGGTTTTTTTATTTTTTTTCCCTGGAGTCCTTTCCTGAATGTATTTTGTCCAAGTACTGGTCCAAATGAACACTCTTTCATGCAAAGCACACACAGAAACATCTTGCTTTTTTTTTTTTTTACAGAGAACAGAAAATACATGTTCTCCCTCTAAGAAGGTGCATCAGTTGGAATTAGGAGATTCATGAAAGAAGAGGCAGCATCACACCTGTAAACCAAAGCATACCAATCTGTACTGCTGTACTATTTCACTAAGTGGAAAGATAAAATAGTGAAGGGAATGATTCAGCATCGTACTCATACATTAAAAGAGGAAGGTATCATTCTGTGCCAACACTCTGATAATTAAGAAAATGGTAAACTTTGCTGTAGTCTAAGAAAAACTCATTCATTCACACAACTTTGTCTGCAATTTTTCAACATTAATGAACATAAAACATTCAGGTAGTTTGGTATCAGTATCAGAGACAGACATACTTTTCAATCTTCATTACTTCAATTATTTTTATGAAAACTTTAGTCAAAAGACAATCAACCCTTGTAGGAAGTTTTTTTTAACTGTGCAACATTTCTTTTTCTTACTTTACCACAATATTTCCCAAAGTCTTTGCCTTCACTGGTTTCATATTTGCATCCAGAATCATGACTGTAAAAAAATAATACAGGAAGGAGACTCAAGTTTAGTAGTGTATTTTTAGGTGAAGGAAAATGTCTTTTTTTATGGATATTAACCCATGTCACATTTCAGAATAGCAATACACCAAGCAACAGAAGGAATTAAGTAATTTGGGAGTGCCAAACTGGATAATCTCATGACTTTATTAACAATCAGCCTTAAGTACAAAAAGTCTTAAATAATACTTGTTCTTTGGAAGCAGAAATAGCACAAAGTCCCAAAAGAGAAAAACACAGAACTAAAAAGTAAAAGAAGCTTTCATTCTGGAAAATCTTAACTTCTACATAGCAAAGGACCATTAAGATACATGACAACTATAAATTAAAAAATATGTGGGTGACATGAGCAACGAACAACAACCAAGATGACTGAAGTCTAATCCAGTTCATGTGAGAAATACTATTAGCAGTAAATAAGTATATCTGGTTTTCAAAGGCTCTCAGGTGTCTCCAAAATATGCCCTTCAGCTAACAAGGTTCATTATAGTCTAGCACAAAGAGATCAAGAAACTCTTGAAGTACCCAAAGCTGCACAGCAGGGTAATGCTCTAAGTACAGGACAGAATCCAGACTTCCCAAATGAAGCCTTTTCCCTAGATGACAGGGGTCCACCACTTTCAGTGAAAGCATCATACCCTAATACTGAGATTTCTGAGGAAATCATCTGAAATAGCCTCTTTTGTGCAGTTATCTGGGAAATGAAGCTACTGCAACCATCCGTTTCATCTCAAGGTGTGGGCATAAGAAAGGAATGACAGATACCACCTTGGCCTGTGATAATGAAATTACATAAGGTGAAGCAACTAAACCATAGAAAAACAGGGAGGGAAGATTTTGATAGACTGGGCTGGTAAGAATTACATGCTTTTTTGAAGCCTGCCCAAGCAATGAAAGCAATGTTCAGCTGTATCTAAATCTCTACAAATAGTCTTACATTCTGGATTACAAAGTTCCAGACGAAATTGGGAAAAGTGGATGACAGACTACTGACTAAAAGTCTGCTAAAACCTATATGAGTAATATCATATACTATCCCTTCAAAGAGAACCAACATCTGTAATTTACTCCTGGCTGAAGCTACTCCTTCAAAGATGATGGTAATTTTAAAGTAACTGAAGAGCCTGCTGGAAGCAATGGCTCTGCACAGAGACACAAGCAAGTACACAAGGCCAGTTTTATAAAGACTTGCTTGTGTAGCTGTCAGTGTTTTCTCTCCTATTTTTATAATACTAAGTAAAATCTAATCAGTTTACTGTATCGGTTTCATCAAGGTACCAATCCCAGTATTTAGTCTTCTCCTTGCAAGCTTACATATTTCAGTGTAGAAACATTTGGGAAAGTGAGATACTATGCTGCTCACTCCTGAATTACTGAAGAACTGACTTGTTTCTTCAAAATGTGGCTTCAGTCTGAAAATGTATTGCAATTACCTGCAAAGGTTCAAGTAGATCAAGGAAAAAGCACAGTATAATGTCTGAATAAAGGCAACAGACCTAGAAATTAATATTGTGTCTTGACACACTTAAATGCAATTTGTGCCACTATACTTTGATATCATAACTTTTATTCCCTTTGTCCCTAAGAATCAGCAACAAATCAGTTTCTTTTTACCAATATGTAATAGGAAAGAGTTTATACATGTTCAAAAAAAAATAGACCTTGCAACTTCGTCTTTATATTGCAGCATGTCTTTACCAGCCATTTAGAGTTGTATGTATAAACTAAAACCACAGTATCTTCTAACTGGCTTAAGGATCTCCTCTATTAAGTCTAGTAACACAGGAAAACACCACCAAACAGAAGTGGATGACAGCAAGACAGCAGCCAAACTAGAGTAATTTTAAAAAAAATCACTAGTTTGTGAATAGCTGTATTACAGGACATATTTGGTCAAAGACTGAAACAAGTAAAATTATGCCATAAATCTTTAGTGAATTTCAGTGCTCATTTTCTATTTCCTTTATACGGTATGCTAAAGACATCTCCATCATTCTCTTTGAAAAAAATTGTTACTTACACTAGTCCAAATGTTCCAAATTATTAGTCAGAAATTTTTATATACTTGTTACTCATATTTTTTCCTACTCCTGACTATCATCTGATAACATGTGTGATGCAATTACATTCTCTCACCCTTTCCTACTTATTAAAACTCCAGAGAAACTTCATGGTTTTGTTTTAATGTTGTCTTTAAGCTATTTCTCATCTTTATGCCATAACTGTAAGATGAAACCAAGAGTTGCTAAAAACATTTGAAGCTTTTTTTAAAGCTAACCACCACTAATATGTATTAAAAGAAAATAACAGCTTAGATCTTTCTGACCAATGATCTTTCTGACCAACTTTTTCTGAAGATCACTTGATCTTTAATGTAATTATTTTTCAGATATCAAGTAACTCTTTAAAATTGTGTTAAAATCAGGGTTCCCAGGTATTAAAATACTTCTGCATTCTTAATCCTGTTGCTGCAACCCTACATGCAAATACCTTCCAGACAATGAGTTCTCATCTTTTTTGTGCTGGTCCATAGCCTACCATTTCTCCTTGCTGGAAATAAAACCAGTTCCACAGCTACTGAAAGACAATTTGCTTAACAACTCTCTCAAGCTGTATAGAAGTGCAGAACTGCATGTAGAAGTATAGATGAGTAATATGTCAAAGTATGTGCTTGATTTTTCATATAATAAAGGCAGAAGCAGTAAATCAATTTTCTTGAAGATTACTCTGAATTTTTTATTCACAATCACATTCTATAACACTCAAGAAAGCAGGAAGGAGGAAAATATCTTAGTAAGACTGTAATTTTATTTTACTACAAGATATGACAACTAAAGAGTGCTTATTAAGGAATACAAGCAAAGGCCTTTCCTAGTAACATTTTTAGCAAAGTCTTACCATTATATCCTGGCACTGGTTTTCCTGCCTGTCCAGATGGAGGTGTTGTAGAGTTCCCCAAACCAACGCAGGAAGCCGTAATTGCAGAACCAGATTCTATTAAGAGAACACACATACAGTCAAAGCTGGTTTTAGTTCCATTCTGTATTTACTAGTTCTAATTTTTATGATGCTCAGCACACAATTTTTTTAAAAAAAATTCCTAGACAAACAATGCAAGATTAAGAATTCACAGAATCATAGAATATGCCACATTGGAAGGGACTTCTAGATATCACTGAAGTCCAACTCCTGATCCTGCACAGGACACCCCCAGGAAGCACACCATGTGCCTGAGAGCATTGTCCAAACACTTCTTGAACTCTGTCAGGCTTGGTGGTATGATCACTGCCCTGGGGAGCCTGTTCCACTGCCCAACCACCCTCTGGGTAAATAGCCTTCTCCTAACATCTGACCTAAAACTCCCTTGGCTCAGCTTCATACCATTCTCTTGAATTCTGTCACTGGTCACGAGAGGGAAAAGATTGGTACCTACCCCCCTACTTCCTCTTGTGAGGAAGTTGAAGGCCACAGTAACATCTCATCTCAGTCGCCTCCAGGCTGAACGGACCAAGTGACCTCAGCTGCTCCTCATAACACTTCCCCTCAAGGCCCTTCACCATATTTGTAGCCCTTTTTGGGACTCTTTCCAAAGCTTTATCATTTTTATATCATGGCACACAAAACTGCCCCCAGCACTTGAGGTGAGGCTGCCCCAAGTGCAGAACAGAGCAGGACAATCCCCTCCCTTGCCCAGCTGGCGAGGTTGTATTGATGTCCCCCAGGATGTGGGTGGCTCCTCCTGCTGAGAAGCACACCAATCCTCATGGGATCCTCTACCACTTGTGTCAGAAAGCTGTCATCAAGGCTTTCCAGTAATGCTGACACCTTCCTAATCATCCCCACAGTTAAGCAGCTTCCCTCCTCACCTTCCTCTCTTTCCACATAACATTTTTATACTACCAGAGTTGTTATCATAGAAGAATAAATACTATCAAGTAATATAAAAGAGAGTCTAAGACTGAAAAAAGCCCAGTTGCTCTTAACTCTTCCCCTTTAAGTAAACAATCTACAGAAAATACTTTGAAATGCTGCTGTAACTCTGAGCCATAGAAAACAAAGTGTAGATGGTTTTAGATATTAGCAGGAACACAGAATGAGACTTTACTTTAAAAACATGACTTTATCACTCTGAAGATGTCTCAGGTCACTTGGCCTGGAATTTATAGTCCATGCCACCCAGCAAACAAAGCAGTTTTGCCTCCAACTGTATATGTATATCTAATCAGTATGTTCAAACCTATTTTCAGCATACTTGCATCAGAAAATTAAAGTAATTTTTGCTGTGATTTTTTTTCAACCTCCATAGCATTCATCTTCCACTTCAGAAGTTGTTATGTGACTATTCAAGTGCTTAAATAAGCAAAAACAAAAACAAACTTACAGACTCTTATAGTGTTTTTACAGTAGGTGTTAGTAAGCAGCTGAAAGCTTAGCATTTACAGCACAGCTGAACTAGGGCCTAAATACAACTGTGGGATACAGAATAAAAATTATCAACCCTCCACACTAATAAACACAGGCTAAAAGGTTTGCTTTGCTGTATCCTAATCTTTCCCCACACCATCCTGTACTTAGTGCAAATTCCCTGCACAGTCGTGGGGAAATCTTTTCTTCTAACACACAGAACACCCAGGCTACAGTTACAGTGGTGACAAAATATCAAAATTATCTACCATACCCCATCTGTGATCACACTGAGCAGCTGTAGAAAAACAAAATGTATTCAACAGTTTTGGAGCCTTATTTTCTGCACAGTATTTATACTGAAGGATTTTCCTCTTTTACTTGGAACAGAAGGAACAGCAAATCGGTAAAGACAGTAGAATGGAGAGTTTCCTTTTTGACTATGTTAGAAGTGGAAGCACGGTGTACATATTGCTTTACATACTGCACAGCAACAGCTACAAAACACACTGCAGCAGATCAGGCAAGAACAATAGCCTCCTATCACCAAAACATAGGAATTAGGTTTGTTACTGAGAGACAGGAAACACAGCACCACTGCTAGCCTGAGGTACCAGTACCATTGGTGTGGACTAGGAATTGACAAGCATTTCTCATCAAGAGTCTCAATCCAAAGACCCTAAGGGGAGAGGAAGAATTACTGAAAATTAGTTTGGGTTTGCCTGAATCTCTAGTACACGGCTAATGAAATCAACAGAAACTTGAAAGGAAACTTCACTGTACTAACTTGTCTGGTTTTTTACCTGCTTTTTGGACAACAGTGACTAAGCCTGAATGAAAGTCCATTTATTCTGGACAATCACAAGTTCTAAAACTTTGTGAACACGTCTTCAAAACTGTTGCTCTTTCTTCTATTGTCTTTCCAATTATCAATGGATATAGAATTTCCATGTTTACCCAGTGCGCTAATCTCTAAGCCATACATTCAGTTCCCATAGGCCAGTAAGACTTTTTATATACATGGAAAAAAATATGGGGCTTTTGGTACTTGGATCATATAATAATTCAGAGAGGGAATCCCAAAAGCATCTGCTCTTTAGGTTAGTTAACCGTTCCTGAATGCTAAGGATTCCCTTTCAATATAGAATCACAAAGGAGTACTATCACAGGACAGCATGAATCATTGTGCTGTACATATCTTGGGAAATCAACATGTATCTTTCAAAGAGGATGCTGGATTGAAATATCAATTTCCCAAACCTATTAGGAAACAACAGCCTCTTTCTAGGATAGTTTTTTCTATCACCAAAAAAACAGTCTGAGTTGAAAGGGGAATTCAATTCAAAATCCTCCTGACAAGAAATCATCACTGTTCAGAAGAACACAGAATTTTAAGTGCTATTTAAAAGATATATTTTCCTTAACAATTATGAGTAATACAAATACTGTGTGGCCCTTTATTAGAGATTTCCAATAAATAAAGTTGCTTATGAATCATTGGTTTCAATTAAGTTTGGTTTCTTTACAATCCAATTCAGGATCTATGTGCAGGTTATAAGATTCAAGTCTGAAAAGTTGAAACAGCAACAGTCTGAAGAAGGATAACACTTGTCAAGTGTACATTGTATTCCACCCATCCCTTAAATCAGGTTTCTGCATATACAAACAGACATCCCTTACCCGAAACGCATTTGTTTATAATTGAAGATTCCCTGAAATTAAGGCACAGAACTTAGAAAGATTTCCAGTGCTGAAGACTTTAGGAACTTCCATATTTTTAATGCAAGAAATTAAACAGTAGGTCTTGTCTTACAGTCTCTTTTGCGAACTTTTGCACATTACCTGTTCACTCACTAAGCTACTTAGTTAGGTAGGCTGTGGAAGGCTTTTCAGGGACAACCACATCATAAAATCAATTTCCTTTCTGCATAACACCTTAAGATGTGACAATAAAACAGCTATTTAGAAGAGTAATGTTTTGTACTGGGAGAAAAATGTTTCACAACTAGTCTGGTAAATGTATTCAACATCTGCTCTAAGTTATAATGAAAACAATATGGTGTATTTCTGAGAATAATGAAAAGCACTTTACTGAGACAGAGAAGACAGAGTTACTGAGAGATGGCCATAAAATCAAGTATCCCAACTCCCTCCTTATGCTTCTTTTCAGAATAAGGGCTAATGTAAAGAAATAATCCTCAGTAATCAGAGATGTGACCTTCTTTGTTTTGTCCCACTCTACCAGTAAGTGAATGATACTATTATAAAGCTATTTCAATAATATTGAAATATCCGGTATAAATTGGACAGCGAATGAGTAGTCCGCTATATGAACTTTTTTGCATTTGCACCTTGGAAAACAATTCTTATGCCAAAGAAAGTGCTGCTGATCCAGAAGCAAAAAGTGCGCTCTCCTACGAGTAGCTAGGGTAGTCTGTTTAATCTTAGTAGTAGTCTTATTAATCAGAAAGCTTCCACCTACCCACATGCCTGATTTGCAGAAGCTGTGTTCTGCCAAATTATGCAAAGCGACACCTAGTAGCTTTTGTGCTCAAAACTCTCTTTCTCATTCACAGTCAATGGTCAAGTTCAATCAAAATAAACAGTTTTGAAATAACTCAGGACTTTCAAGATGAAAATCATCTAATTTACTCTGTGCCACTTACATTCCTGATACACTATAAGTTCTAGACTATGTCTCATATTCCTCAACATAGTAGACTACCATGCTGTTTGAAATATCAGCTTTTTTGGTAGGAAATACTTAGACAAAACACACTGTATTTTGGCATGAATATTTGAGCTTGGGCTGTGCCAAGTTGGTAATGTAAAGCTGTCTGCTTTGAATTTCTTAGGATGCAATGGAGAGACACTAAAAGCATACAAAATAGGTAGGAAGTTCTTATGTAGCCGAAGGAAAGAAGAAAAAGGAGCAACTGTCATACATTAACATATTAATGAATGCAATAAATATAATAAACAAAATTCTCACTGTAGCTATGCTGTTTTGAACCATTCTTCTGGCAAAGCTGCCACATTGGTTGTGGGGAATTAAAGGAATTACTACAGCAACAGACTGCACTGATAAAATGGAAAGGAGAGTCTATGAAGCAGGAAAGCTTAGGCAGCAACTCATTATAAATCCACTCACACCACAAGAATGTACCTCTGAAGAGACTCCTTCCATATGCTCCCTCCACACTGCCAGAAAGAGTGGATGAAGAATTCAATAAAGTCACAGCAAAATTATTTTTAGTATAGCAACAACTACTGGGCATTTTGGAACAGAAAACCACAGTACCAGATGAATTACAGGACTCAAAATTTGCATCATACTGCTTCCTTAAAGTAAAACTGAATCTAATACATCACAGAAATAGTATGCACTGGCAGTGTCCTGAAGATTCAGGGGCCAGATCACCAAGTATTCATATAGACCTCATTTCCTTCATCCTTCAGCATACAGCTGCACAGAGGACAAAAGTCAGTTTCCCAGTCAGTCCTTTATCGCTAAAAGCCAAGCAAGCTTCTAAGACTCTAACTGCAGTAGCAGTAAGTAGCCTCACTCATAGCTTGGATTTAGCACTGTT